AGGCAACATACTCGAGATTTACTCCTTACCCCACCAAATATTTTTACATTAACCCCCTGAGAGTCTACCCCATGTTATTCGTTTTTCTAACATTCTTGTTTTAATTATTTTAAATCTATACCCCCACCCTCCCCCTCTCCCTTCTAAGAAATTTTCGCCACCGACATTATTAATTACACTTTTTAATTATAATGGTACTCCTTTCATAGATTTTAAAAATAATAACTATTATTAAAATTGAATGTAAAGGTTATTTTTTAGAACTTGAATTCAATTAAAAATATCCTTATTATACTACATTGTTTGGCATGAATGAGTTCACTGATAGAATCTCTAAGCCTTTTATTTAAAAGGATAACAAAAAGTTATCCAAAAATACTTTTATTTGGAAAATATAATTTATGATTGTATGCATATGTATTTGGTCGATGTTTAGCAATATTATTGTATTAGGTCTACAATAGAAGTATTAATTTTTATAGCAATACATTTTGCGCTATTTCATCTAAAATTTTAATAGAAAAACCCCTAAAAATTTTATCTTCTAGCCTATCCCCTTTTAATGCCACCCCCTACCCCCCTAAAAAAATTGAATGAAAAAGGCCCCCCCCATGAAGATGCTGGTCAAATTGATAAAAAAATTAGAATTTTAAAAAAATATACTTTCATAAAAATTTTTAAATAAAGTAGTATATTTTATATATATTTGGTCTGGCCCATTTTTTTAACGCTGCTTTAAAAACAGTATTAATGCTAAGCCAGAATTTTAGCTCTTATCTTTTAATATTGTAAGCGTTTTGAACGTAGGGTTAAAGAGGTGGACAAGGCTTTATGACTTTTAAATACTGTTAAATTATGTTATAATTATTTGAGATCTGGGTAAAATATTTTCTTATTAAATACTTTTAAAACTAATTACACCATGAGATTTGTAAACCAAAAATATATTTTTATAAAATGGAAATTGTTCTCAAAATGTTTTGTAAAATAAATAGTTCATGGAAATTTTTTAAATATTATTTTTTCGTCAAAAATTTGCTCCAAGCTCTTCAATTTTTTAGATAGTATTACATCAGTCCCCCTTTTACCTTTTAAATGTTTAAGTGGGAAAAAATTTCATCAAACTTTCAGGTAAAAATAATTTTGAACTCATTTGATCAGAAATAAGTGCAAAAATGAAACTTTTTTAACTTCAATTTTATAATGCAGTACTCCGGTGAAAATAATGACGTTAGTACTCGGGTGGGGTTTAATAGACCCCAATTTCAAATGTATATATCTCCAGTTATATTCATTATTTTTATTTAATATTTGAATATAAGATAGAGCTAACCTTCAACCTGATAAAATATTTATTTATTTTTATTTCATAAGCTTAGATTAAAGATGATGAGGATAATTGTAATTTGTGCCAAAATTTTCTAAAAAAAGTTTACTTTTTTTAAATTCCAAATATTAAATTAAAAAATTAGCTTATCTATCATATAATTATGATAATTCATAATATGGATCTTTATTCTTCAATTAAAAAAAAAATTACACTAATACATTCAAACATAAAAAAAAAATATATAACATTGAAATATGTTAAATTTAACATGCAAAACATTTATTACATAAAACATTAATGTGTTCTAAACATAAATTTATTTTACATATTTGAAAAAAAATATTTTGTTTTTTTTTATTTTGATGGTTAGATTTTAAAATTCCAGTTAAATAAAGATTTCCCAATAATGTCTTGAATTGTGTTACATCAACTTCTTTAGTAGAACTTTCATAGTGGTCAGTATAGTTTTTACATATAATTTTAATTTTTTCATTGTGTGATAAATAATCTCTTCAGTCATTTTTGTGCTATGAAAAAGTCAAAACATTTTCTGGAGTGTCAGCTTCTTTATTCTTTTATACCTGGCAGAATAACTAAATTTTGTAGATGAGTTCTTATTCCTTGATTAGGAAGATTTTTTTCCATTTAGTAAACTTATTTTTTTAGCTAATTTTAAAGAGAAATATACTATGATAAATGATTTTATTTCATATTTACCTAAATAATATTAAGTTTATTGTCTTCAACAAACATATCTTTTTCATCTAATTCAGATTGTGATGTTCACTATCATATATAAAATCTTCATCCTCAATATTAATTATATTGTCATAATCACCTCAAATAAAATTATATTACATCTTAAATAATTATATATTTAGTTTCAAAATCTGCAAAAATTATTATAAATTATAAAAATAATTTGAGAAATGAGTCAGCTGGTGAAAAATAATAATAAAATAACTCCACCAGAGAAAATCTTTACTTTTTCTTTTTCATATATCTCATTCAAAATATATGATATTTAAATTTTGTTTTAATAAATTTTATATATTTATAATTTTAAAAATTTTTTAAAAATTACAAATTTACTTTGGTGGGGTCTCACAAACCACAATCAGTCACAAAATACTTATATCTTAAGAACTACTCACCAAAATATATGAAATTTGTAATATAGATTCTAAGATATATTTGATGAAGCTACTGAAGAATCCAGATCATAATATTTAACTGTTTTTATGGGATATCATTTCTAGCATGCCTGGGGTTTCATATACCCCATCAGAGTATTGTGAAGGGTTAAAGCAAATTTCCATAATATTTTTGTTAAAACAAAAGGCACATATTATATCACAGGTCAAACGCATTCATTGAATTTCCACCTACTTTACAATGACATAGTCCACAATTTTTGGTTTTGAGCAGATGTGTTATTAAAATATAAAACCTATACACATCTCTGCATTGACTATGTAATCAGTTGTTCTATGTAACTTAGAAAATGAATTTGTTTAAAAAGTGGTATAGTAAATACCCTAGTTGCTGATATAATTTGTTAATATATGTTTCCAAATTTTGCAACCCATTGGGGATAAGGACATGTTATTTTATTCTTCCCAGTTATCTGGCGAAATGAAATTTAGATATTTTTTTATTAAGTTAAGTATCATCTTGTTAATGAACCATTTTTTATTGTCTGATATCTTAAAAAAATATTAAGAACATGTTGGTTATATTTAAATATCATGTGGGTAAACATTTACATAAATTAAACTTTTATTTAAAAATACAGCATTAAATAATCCCCAATTAGTAATAAAAATAGGCTAATTTCTAATTCCTCTAGAAAACACATTCCCATTTAAGGATAGCTTTGAAATGACATGAATAAATTTTAATAAAATCATTTTTCTATTCTTTTCAATTGATTCTTTACTCAAAAACAAAATTTGCCCTAATAACCTAGTTGCACAATTTGGCAAGGAATAGAAAGAATCTTCCAAAGATTCAAAACAAGTAAATATATGAAATGATTGCTGGGCTTCAACAATATATCAAGATGAAAATTTTTTTATCATCATGCAGTATTACCAAGTGTGAAAGGGACTTTCACCTTATGAATTTGATCATGGTATATAATTGAGCAAGTTTAAGAGAAATTTGTCAAGTTTAATACTCAAAAATATTATTGAACCTTCAGGATGGATTTCCAGATTCATACATCAAAATATGGAATAAGAATCTTCATAAGCAATATAACAATTTTTATAATATAAATGACTTATTCATATCACTAATAAAAACAATTATTTTAGAAGTATCAGAGGCCTGCGGAAAACCATTTGCATGGAGGAGCCCTGATACTTTTTAAAATATATTTTATTAATTTTTAATTATTATAGCTAATAATGGAGATTTAAAATATTGTTTTAAAATATACAGCTTAGCCCAGCCCAGGTATTTAAAAAACTAAATATACAGGTCCTGCTGGTCTCTAATATAGATTATCACATTTTTCATATAAAAAATTGTTGCACCCTTATCAAATTTTTAAAATGCACCAATGTCCATTGTTATAATATCAACATCATGAGCATGCACCAAAAATTTGCAAAATATTAAGTAATAAAAACAATTAAATTAAAAGGTTTATTTTATTCCTAACTATATTAGTTGGATTTGGTTATTGTAATTGTTTAAATAGTAACCCTTCTTATATAACTTTTGGTTGAAAATAAAATTAGACTCCTAAATAATAACATTCTGTTAGTTTAAAAATTATTTATTTATCTTTATAAACTAGTTAAATATTTTCTAATGATATAAATGGTTTTGAATAAAAAATAGGTGAAATGAATGTGACATATTCTGATAATTTGTAAATATATTATAAATTTTTGGCCAGTTCAGGTTTATATAATATCAGCTATGCATTAAAAAAATTTTTTAAGGCTGAGATCTCCAGGTTTCTATGATTTAACTTAGTTTTAAAAGCAGGTATATTAAGAGTCAAAAAAATGTTACATAAGCTCAAAATTTTTGCCAATAAATATCCAATCCAAATCTTTATGTTATCTGTGAGCAAAATCTCCAAACTGGGGTAATTTTATTTTGGCTAAATGAGTTGTCCATTTTCAAAAATCAGCTAAATTGAATATTTACAATTACAATAGTTGAATGTGACACATTAGATGTTTAAATACTTTTTATGTAGATAATATAGCAAAAAATATTATTAAATTTGTGGTAACATTATTTTTTAAAATATGTTTTTTATATTTTAATCAATAAAACTTTGGTTCCTTTTTTTATAATTGACAATCAATCAGGCAAAATATTCTATTTGTTAAAATCAGGCAAAAAAGAGGACAAAATATAACACTAATATTTTTCCCAGAAACAAGATAGGTTAATATTTTATTGATGATCTAGCTGCCCAGCAAGTCTAGCAGCTTTTTATTTTAACTATCTGCATTATAGTTATAAAAAATTTATAAAGCTTATAATTTTTATATTTTACTCTAAATCATATAAAGTTTTGCTTAGTCTATACATCTAAATTTGATCTATATTAAAATTTATTAAAATGTAATAAACATCAAAATTATAAATTTTTTGAAGTTAACTTCAATATTTAAAAATATAAGTATATCACAAATTTTGTAAACTCTAATCTCACCATATAAACTAATTCATTTTTATAAACAATTTAATTCATCATTTGCATGTATTTATATCTAAAATAAAAATGATTTGTATAAAAATATTTATGTACATATAATAAAATTTTAATTAAAATAATATATTAATCCTATATATATACACATTAAAATTTATACAAACTATTGGTCTTAAGCTTGATTAATTGAAATAGTTTCTGATTGTATAACTTCTGTAGTAGTTATAGTAGTCATGTTTGAACCTATCTCATTTGTATCAATTGAATTAACATTAGTTTGTATAATTTCTGAAGGAGAAACATGATTTATTTCATTGGATCTATTAATATGATCATTAGCAGTTGAAAGAGATGTATGTTGAGTTTCTTCTTCCTCTGCTGAACTATGTGTATGCCATGTTAATCGTTCTTCATAAAATTTGATAACAATTTGAGGACATTTAAGATTAGCTTGTCGAGATGGAACTAAATCTGCTTCATCACTATCCTTCCTAAAATTTTATTAAAATTTTTAAAAAATTTATGCAAACCATTTCATCAGGAACATTAATTCACCACCTGAGTCAGTGGCGCCTATAATTTTTTCAGGTTCTAATCCTCGATCAAATCCTCTTAATATTTCTTCCTTTAATTATAATAAAGCTTTTAATTAATTAATTTGTTGATTAATACTTCATATTTTCCTCTTGATCGTTTACCACTCGTGCTAGTAATTGCTACTGATGATTGAATATGTGGAGTAGATTCTTCGCCATTAAGTTTTCTTTTATTAGAACTTTCATTTGTCGTGCTTTTACGTTTTACATCGTTAAATTCGGATATCAGATCAGGACAATCTAAATTCTCTTCTGGTTCCCATGTATTGTCAGAACTATTTAAGATTGTAAAGAACGTCATAAAAATAAAATTACTCAGGATATCCTTCCCACTTTATAAAGTATTCAACCTTGCCAAATTTCATTCTTTTTTCTACTATTTTTTCAACATTATATTCTTCAGGCTCTAATTCTTCAGATTGCCTTTGCTTTTTCTTGGGCATTATGGCTAGAAAAATTTATTGATAAGAAAAATGGCGAAATCAAAGGAAGTTTATGAAAAATATGGCGCTAAAACAATTAATGTTAAAAACCAAAAACCGCACAAATTTAACACAATAATTTTTTCGTTATTGTTAAATATTACTATATTTATATTTTAAAGATAAATTTAAATCATAAACTAAAAACAATCTATACTTTATATCTAAAAGGTAAAAATATAATAAATAAAAAGTATTACGAAAAATTTTGAAATTAATAACACATATGTAAGAGATAAATAATTTAAAATTAGAAGTAGTAAATATTTCAGAGGTGGATTAATCAAATTTTAGAGCTAATTGGAACAAAAACTTTAAAGTAAAAATTTTGTATTTTTTATAATGACAAATTTTGCCATCAGTTTTTATCTGAACATGAATACTGTTGATAAATCGTTATGTCTAAGTCGATTATATAATAAATGACGCCACTAAATATTTTTCTAAATAGTAAAAAAATAAGTTAACTACACATTCTATATATTCCTTTAATAATATTAACATAATATTCTTTTTATGATACCCTCAGTATATATAAAACTAAATCATAATAATATTCAAATACGAAATAAAATTACAGTTGAAACCATATAAATGAACTGTTTACAATTAAAAAAATGCACAATATTGAAAATGTCAACTGAAAAACATTAACATAGCAAATCGGTTAATTGAGATTTTCCGATAAATGAATGGCCGAAGGCCAGACAAAAGCTGGTAAAAAATCCCCCTATAGAATTTTTTTAGTTGAGCCCTTTGAGATTGTACAGGCTTGTGACGCCCTTGTCTTTACATCAAAATATGTTTATTGAGGCAAATGTCAAGCAAAAAAGGATGCAGTAATAATCTTCTCATTAATAGGCATGCCAGGATTTTCCTAAGGGGGGTAATTAAAAATTACTAGAGGCTTTGCCCTCAGACCCCCTTTTGGGCGGGCCTTCGGCCCGCTATTGACCGACCTTCGACCGGGTTACCTTAGTCTATATATAGTCATAAAATATTTTTACAAGATAGGAGGTTAATTTTAATAAAAAAAATAAGCCTGGAACAAATATGAAATATATTTTTATTAGTTTATTAAAATATAATAAATTACTTATATATGCATTAATATAAAAGCATGGTAATAATTTATTCCAAACAAGTATAAGAAATTTATTTAGAAAAAGTAAGTAGGCATATTGTTGATATTCCTCTATTATATAGAATTAGTTACAAAATACTAGGTAAAATTCCACTTTTACAGACATATTTGATAATATATTGCAGTTTATATTTTAACAAATTTTACTAATCAATGCTCTTGATAATATATATAGCAACAATTTGCATTCAATTATTTAACGCCATCTATTTATTTTAAATAAAATATTAAAAATTAATCTTCATATTATTTATCTCGCAATGTCTTTAAAAGATATTTTCTGATGTCCTTATAAATATTTTATAGTTTTCTGTAAAATATTTAATTCGCTATATTGATAAAAATACTTGATTGTCATATGATGATTGATAAAATTAGATATACGACATAATATTCCATTGTTTGTATCAGAGTTGTACATTTGCTCAAAATAAAAAGATCTAGATCTTTGAAGATCGTAAAATTTGAAGATCTTTTATTTTTTAAAAATTTTGTGTAACGATCTTCAAAGATCTCGCTGCGATCAACGATCTTCATGATATTTATTTTTTTACCCCTTTATTAAAAGCCCAGATGTTTTTCAATTTTATTAATATAATATTTCTTTTATGTTTTATACCTCTCCTCCTGCCTTGATGAAAATTGAAAAACATCTGGGCTTTTAATAAAGGGGTAAAAAAATAAATATCATGAAGATTTTTGAAGATCGTTGATCGCAGCGATCTTCAAAGATCTAGATCTTTGAAGATCGTTACACAAAATTTTTAAAAAATAAAAGATCTTCAAATTTTAGGATCTTCAAAGATCTTGCTCAAATTTTTGAGCTAGATCTCGCTCAAAAATCTTCAAAGAAGATCTTTTGTACAACTCTGGTTTGTATTGATCTTTAATTTTTTTATTTAATTTATGATTTAATTTTAACAATAGTTTTATAATTATATTTTACTTTTATTAATATAAAAAAATTAAAATTACTCACTTTATAAAAAGTTATATTTGATATATTATATTATTTAGTAATTTTAATGGGTTGGACTGGGCTTGGAAAATATTAATCAAGATTAATATTTGCTTGCACCTGACTTAAGAATATCTTTTACAAATTATTATGGGCCGGGCTAAGAAAAAATTTTCAAAATTATTATGGGTTGAGCTAGGCTTGAGAAATTTTTTTTAAAAATTATAAGGTCTTGGACGCTTGAAAATTTTTTCCCAAATATTAAGAGCTTGGAACTGGCTTGAAATTTTTTAATGTTAAATGTTAGTCTTATGTAATCAGTAATATATTTACAGAGAATTTGATATTGGGTAAAGCTCATTTAAATATATTTTGACTCAAAAAATAGTTTCCACTCTTAGTCCTAATGGGTTGGACTCAATGACATTGGTTGGACTTGACCTAAATGGGTAGGGGGGGGGGTTTAAAAATAATATAAATTGGATCCGATTTTTAAATAAAAGGTAACATCTTTCTTAAAAAAACGAATAAAATTCTCATTCTCCGTCACTTTTGACGGGCTATCTACTAGATTATTTAATAATTTTATGGATCTATTAATAATAATTATAATACATTTCACTTTTGTCTTAAGACTTATCTTATATTCCATTTCTTAAAAAGATTTTTGGTTCACTTTTTTATATATAAATGCTTTTTTCCAAAAATGTTTTAAATTATGAATATTTTTATAAAAAAATATTAACTTTTATATTCTTTCTTTCAAATTATTGTTTAAGTTATATGTATACATTTTTGGGGGTCAGGGAGGGGAAGGGAGGACTAAGGGGGGGGGGGGTATTCTTTATTAGCTTAAAATGATATTCACGAAAAGTGATAAATTTCTGAAGGAATGGGGGGTGAATTTCCCCTCGCCCCCCCCCTGGCTACGCCTATTTATTTATTAATATATTATATAAATTTTTAATTGAATTTGCAAACTCTGAATAACTAATTCTTAGCAAACTACATTGACAAATAGTCATGAAACTAATAATGTTGTTACCATTTTAGACAATGTTTTATAGAATGGACATAAGGAAAAATTTGTAGGCCTAATCAAATTAATAACTTGAAGAAGAGAATATAAACGACTAATCCATATCATAAAACTATAGGCGGTTAGAGCTTCCTCTTATATGACATTATGAAAGCTAGATAAGTAATCGAGAAAATGATTGTTAGATATTAAATTTCTAAAAGATTATCTTCCATTTTTAATGATACACGACAAGACAGTAGACCACTATTGCTCATCTAAATTATGCAATCAAATGCTCTCAGTAGCAGGAGTAATACTCTTAAATTACATAGCAACACAAATTACAGATGCTGGTTAATTGACAGTCATAGCCATGATGCTCACAATGTAAACTCATATCAGAATTTATTATATTAGATAAATTGAAAAATAAAAAAAAACTAAAAATTTTTGTAAGAAATAATTATGCGAATATATTGAAATCTTGAGTTTTTTACAGGGTAAGGATGCCATATTGGAAATGAATCATTCAGCAACTAAATAAGTAGAGAGATATGATAATCAATTAAGATTTTATATGAAATCACACCAACCCTAGTTGGTATACTCTTAAAATTAAAGTAGTTTGTAATAATATCAAAAATATACTCGTATTAAAAATTTAACTCAAAACTGTTTTTCAAAGAAGAAAAATAGCTTTCCTAAAAACACGGATAAGGAAGAAAAATATATAATAATGATTACATCCATTGTGGGATGAATAATAAGATAATTAATTTTTAATAATATTTTTCAGTATAAATAAATAGATGGCGTTAAAAAATTGAATGCAAGTTTTTATCTATATTTATTATCAAAAGCATTGATTAGTAAAGTTTATTAAATTCTATAATTGTCCTGGAAAAGCGGCATGTTATCTAATATTTTATAACCAATTCTATAAATGTCTACTTACTTTTTATAAAGAAATATCTTATACTTGTTTGGAAGTTGGAAATATTTTTAGAAAATTTTTGAGTTTTTGGGATCAGTACCAAAAAGGCCATCAATTGTTAATTGAGTCTTTTTACTCTCTATTGTAAATACACATTTATGCCTTTTTAGTTGATTTGTGCCTAAAATAATTTAATAATATCATATATTTTATGTATAAATATAACCTGTTGTTATATAATTATAAACACATATATATTTGAAAAATTGCAACTTATATAATTAAGTTTTTCTTTGTTTTCATCATATATAAATGAAAACTTTCCCAATAAAATATAATATTTTTATTTTACATATAAAATATTTGCGCCTTTTTTTATATAATATGTTTCAACATAAAATTAAATTTAGATATATTTTAAAGTTTTTCCAAGGCCCGACCAGACCTGACTAAATATTTTTTTAAAAATAGGCCCGGCCCAAAACCCATTACAGATCTCTAACAAGTATCTAATAATTGATATTTTTGATAAATATCTTGTAACTTAAATACAAAATTTTTAAAATCTGTACTACATCCGAATTCAATTTACTAAATATTTCCCCAACCCTGCTCTCAAACGACCGAATTCATTAAAGATGAAATGGATGTAAATCTTTAATTTATTAAATTTGATTTTTTCATTTTATTGTCTCGAATTGAATATTCAAAAAAAAATCTACATGAGCTGGGAAAACCCTTTAATTCAACTTACCTTTCATCTTTAATAAGAAAAAAAATCAGTTTTATATTTCTCTTTCAAATTTAAGTTAACTAAATATTAAAATATTAGTATAATACTTATTCTAAGAAGAAAGATGATATTTTTATAGAAATTCCTTATTATAAATCTCATATTCCTTCTTAACACTAAAAAATATAATAAAATTTAATTCATAAGCTATTAAAAGTTTTTTTTTTAAAAAGCTAAAATATTTGAAATTTTTAAATAACTTTAAAGTTA